AAAGAAACTCTTTGAGTACCAAGCTGTTACATTCTACATGTAGAAACAGATACCAGACTAAAAAGTGGAGCTAGAGTAAAAATGCACTTTAGCTGAACTACAAATCATCAAAAAAATGAGAAGGAGGATTCCTGCATTTAGGCCTGATCTCATCTAACTCAACCTTTCAAGAAGCCAGGAACTCCCACTAGTTGTTCAGATCTTCACTGCAGCCAGAAAAAAGGGTTCTGATAGATGGTATTTAGTCTCCCAAGGCAGGTGGTATCATAAACCCATATGCATTTGTTTGACTCATCACCAACTCCTGCAACAACAGAAATACACTACTTTGCTGTGGTATCAGCACTATGAGGGTGTATACACCAGAGCTAAGAAAATCCAGGTTTTGAATAAGGCAGTGTAGGACCTCTGACAGAGACCATTTCCACAAGAGTAGTCACAACTGTGAGAGCTAACCTGTGATGGAAACTCAGAGCACACCCTCATTCCACAAAATTTTTGTAATTTTGCCACACCTCTGATCATTTTGTGTCACAACAATCTGGAGTAATAGGAGTGGGTTTTACCTAATTTTCTTCTAAGGAACTGCAATTATCAGACTGGAAAAGAGAGTGGAGATGCACACCAGGCAGGAAGCAGTACTAAAGATGAGGAAATGGCTCCAGTGTCTCTGTAGCACCACAGTTGCACAAGAGGAAGGTTACTAGTCACTTCTACAAAATCAAAATATCAGATATTGATCAATTTCTATAGATTTCTATAGATAGAAAAGAGGGTGGGATGCTCTAACACTGTATTGTCAGAAAATGAAAAATCATCAACTATTATTTACATTACTCTCACCCCTATACTATTAAAAACCTTTTTTCCACTTTTTATTTCTCTAAGTGCACTTATGTGTGGGTTTCGGAATGAAAGGTGATTCCTAGAATTAGATTAAAACCATGAATCTAGTAGAGAGGAGTCATAACAAATTACCTAGCAATAAGGCTGACAGTATATATTCTTGTTCAGAGTTAACAGGGATGGGCTATGTCTCACCCAAGCAAGGCACTCAGTGTAGACTTCTACCTGAGCTAGTCTCACAAGGACCTTTGCACATTTTTAGAGCATGATTTACCCAACTTACTTCATATTTTTACATTAGGGTGAAATGAATCATGTTTCCCAGTTGCTTGTTTCCTTCTGTTGAGTTGAAGAACCCTGCAATGATGAGTTCTCATTGTAGACAACCGTATTTTATAACAGATTACATATCTGTAGTCCAAGAAAAGGAACATAAACCCCAAAAACAAACAAACAAAAAAAAACACCCCAAAAAACCCTGTCAGTTCTGAACAGGAGACAGAAGGATCACATTATATGCTCCTCAGTTCATGTTTTTTAAAAGGCACGTTTGCAACATTATATCAACAGTCAAGAAATAAAAAAATGTTCCTCCATTTTTTTTTTAACCTCTAGAAAAGTCTGAAACCAGATTTTTAGCTATGAATCATGACTGACTTCTAAACCAATGAGAAATTTCATTTTCTATCTAAGGTAGTGGAAAACCACAGATGGAGTTGAAAGGTCAGGAACTGGAGCAATCCACTTCAGGAGACTTTCTATTTATTTACAGGTTTGTACTGACTCTGACTCCTGGAAATGGAAAATAAATCCACTGAAGCAAATTTAGAAGTGATTCACACTTCTAGCTGGCAAATACTTTCTATGCTTCTGGTATGAACTGGTATATTTAGCAGTGAATGCTGTAACAACAATAATCTTCCAAATCAATTCTATATGATATATTATATTATATTAGATTAGATTATTATATATAATTCTATATGAGGCAAAGAGCAACACTGTAGGAAGGAAATTCCAGGCTCACCCCATGGTACATCTCTTACCAAACTACAACAGCTCCCAGATTTGCATATGTACACTGTGCAAAAGGATCCATGAGGACCAATACAGAGAAGAGTCCCAAGCTTGCTGACTTCAATCTACTCTTCTAACCTGAACGGAGAATAGCCTGTTGTGGAACCCACACCAAAAGCTAGATCAAGCTTGGTGGAGACAGATCACAGAACCATAGAATCATTTAACTTTGACAAGACCTCCAAGATCACGGAGTCCAGCCATTAACCCAGCACTGCAAAGTCCATCACTAAGCCATAGCCATGAGTGCAACATCCACACACTTTTTGAACACTTTCAGACATGGTGATTCCACCATATCCCTCGGCAGCCTGTTCCAATGCTTCATGGCTCTTTCAGTGAATACATTTCCCTTAACATCCAATCTAAACCTCTCCTGGCCATTTCTTCTTGTCCTGACACTTGTTACTTGGAGAACAGACTGAATCCCACCTCACTACAAGCTCCTTTCAGGCAGTTGTAGAGTGAGAAGATCTCCCCTGAGCCTCATTTTTTCCAGATCCACCAAGATGCACCTATATACATCTGTAGTGGAAGAAGCCACCATGACAACAAATGTGCAGCTGCATGGTGCAGTGTGTATCCATCATGAAGGCCTTCTTCTCCTCATTTCAACTCCTCAGTATCAATGTGCCTCAGGGAGCAAAAGCACGTCTCACTCAATACACAGGGCAACATCATTAACATGCAGTATTTCAGAAAAATAAAAATAATGCTCTTGAGCAGAATTTTGCTGAAAGCACACGCTTGCAGTCCAGCCTGATCATGCATCAGGATGAATTTGGCCCAGTTTATATCCTAATGATTATAATGGATGCTGCAGTCATCTTTTCATTAAGGCAGCAGCCAAAAATATTGATTTCTTATACTTCACACTCCTGCTTACCTTCACAAATTTCAGGAGAGACAGAACATAAGCCAATAGAGTTGGTGAGTTTAAAAGTGACAAATGAACTGCACTGAAAGTAAATAAACAGCTATCTCTTTATAAATTAATTCAATATGTGACTTAAGCCCTTTTCTACAGCTAGAAAGCTGATTCATCATTCAGCAGCATTTAAGTTGCCACCAGTTCAATAGCAGAGTATTAATGTTGCATTCTATTTGACACAGAAGGTCAAATCCTGCGTTCAGCTTACAACAGCATGACCCGGAGTAACCCTGAAGTCCTGTCCTCCACATCGCCCTGGCTGCAGTTCTGCACCCAAAGTGATGCTCAAATTGCTTTCAAGAAGGCTTATGCAGTATGGAACATTTGGGGAAATCATAAACAAGAATCCCAGATCTTTTGATCTGCTGGATTATCAAGTCTCTTCTGGAATGATGAAGTGAAATCAAGTGAAATCACACAGGTTGGTTCATTTTCATGTAACACTCGTGAAAGAGTGAAGGCAGAAAAATCTTTGCATCTTGGGAGATTTGGGGCTTTTTTTGCCTCCATAAAATAAATTTCAATTTTGGAAAGAAAGTAAGTATATTTAAGGTGGCACACCAAGTACAATTTCCACTCACGTTAAAACATGATTTGTGCTTTACTGAACAAGGGACCTAACTTATTCTAGGCCATCACCTCTACTAGTGTAGACACAGGGTAAAAAAACTGGTTATTTTACTTATGAGTGACACACACTGATTTACTTTCCCTATCAGCTCTTTTGAGTTCAAAAAATGTCAAATGATTTCTGTATCAATACTGCAGCATTTGCATGAGCCTCACAGTGCTTTATAAAGAACCCATTGAGATGAAGTTGATTCTACTCAATAAGTAGGTAGAATGAAATTTTGAAATGCAGGAACTTAATATTTAAACACATGTCCAAATGTCTAAATAATGTTGCCTGAATGCCTTCTGCTACTATCTGCACTGTAGGATATGTGAGCTCCTAACATTTCTGGAAATTACACTAGGTGCCCTCTTGACTTCTGACACTCAAGTCTGATGTTTCTGGACATAAGGTTTTGACTGCAATCATCTGTGTACAGCTGTAGCAGCAAGACTGTAGCAAAAATAGAATAAAAATATTTTTCTCTGCTTATACTTAGATGAGAGCCACAGCATTTGTAATGTCGTCTGTTTTTCATAATGTTCAGTTTAGAAAGTTGACATTTGATTAAACAGTTTGAATTTGCCAAAACATACATTTTAATCTTATGTTTAATACCACATTCTCAATTAAAAGCTTTAGAAGAAGACATACAAACCACAGTAAACTCACAGACCTAACATATTTAATATAATTTCTGAAACTGTTGACTAATATTTTCTAATTTCCTCACTAGTTCTAGCGGTGCACAGCTGCACCATTACTCCCAACAACCATCAGACATTTAAGCAGCTAGCTTTTACGTGTTTTATTAAACACACTTTTATATTTAGCATTTTGAACATTTTCCAATAGCATGGTAGGGTAATAAAAGTTCAGCATCTGAAAAACCTTCACTATATTAACAATGCTTTCTGACATTAATGTTTATAATAGTACCGCCACCAAAGGAAAGCTAGCACAGGTTGTATACAGCTATGAACATTTCCCTGGATTTCTACCTTATGCATAAGTTTACTGATAAACACTGTACCACAAGAAAGCATATTACACAGGATGGTGTGTCATTCCAGAGTAACTCCCATGAAAAATGACCCCCAGCAACAAGAACAAGACCACAAATAGGTTTTAGGACAAAATAATCTTTCTTTCATGCTCCTTAGCTCCTTTCATTTGGTTTAACACCGGATTCAAGGTCATGAGTATTGTGACTGCGGAGGTGGCCTGAGTAATTTACAGTGATCAACAGATAATGCAGTGACTGTAAGCAAGTCATTCTGTAACTATCACTGCCTTCTAAATGGAGTCATCACATAGCTGCTGAAAAGAAATGGGTATTATTTCACATCCACAGAGTGATGAATGTAACCAGGTAATTAAATCATGTCATTGCTGTGCCTAGAAAATCCTTACTTAATTTTATCTCGCCTGTTAAGAAGAACTGAATCTCTTGTTCAGGTTAGAAAACAATTATGCCTCAGCTCTGCTTTTGAAAAAAACCTCTATGAAGGAGAAATTAGAAATAAAACTCACCAGTTTCTTCATCGATGCTGAATCTCCCCAGGCCACTGCCGTCCCTGATGGAATACTGGATCTCCCCATCTCTTCCAGAGTCCTCATCTCGAGCAACAACTTGCAAAACACTTGTACCTATGCGGGAGTTTTCCTTTACAGATCCAATGACAGCAAAGTCAGGAAAATAAGGGGTATAAAGGTTTTCATTAACATCCACCACTTCAACTTCCACAAAAGAAAGCGAAGATAGAGAAACTGGGCGCCCCTTGTCCTTGGCACGCACAGTCAGGTTGTAGAACTGCTGCTTCTCGTAGTCGAGCTCCTTGTTCAGGCGGATGGCGCCGCTAGCTTTGTCGATCTCGAACCGCCCGTTGTAGTCGTTCACCAGCGAGTAGCGGACCTGGCCTCCCAAGCCCAGGTCTGGATCATGAGTCTCCAGCCAAGCTATGACAGTGCCAACAGGCAGGTCCTCAAGGACCTTCACATTGTAGCTGGATGGGATAAAGGCTGGGGAGCAATCGTTAACGTCATCCAAAAAAACCTTCAGAGGCACAACAGAGAACTGCTGATAGCCACTCTCTGCTCTGTCCCTAGCCTCAATCTTCAGTGTGTAGTTTGCTTTTGCTTCCCGGTCTAGTTGATCTGCAACATACACCACTCCCGTGGAACTGTTGATAGCAAATTGATGGGTGTCTGTCAGTACTGAGTAAGTCACTTCACCATTAGATCCTAGGTCTTTATCCCTGGCTTCTACCTGGATAATCTCTGTACCAAGACTTGTACTTTCTAAAATATTAACCGAGTAACTGTCCTGTAAAAAAACAGGCTTGTTATCATTTGCATCCTCCACAGTGACAGTCAGCAGTCTCCATGCAGATTTCTGTGGATTACCTAAATCATAAATTGTAATATTAAGGAGATAGAGCTCTGTTTTTTCACGGTCCAAGGGCATGAGAACACTAAGTATCCCCATCTCCATGTCAATGTTGAAACAACTATCTACATTACCATCAGAAATTGTATAAAGTACTCTTCCATTAAAGCCTGAGTCAGCATCGTAGGCTTTTATCCTCAGGATGGTGGCACCAACCGGCAGATCTTCTGAAACCTTTACATCAGTAGGAAAGGATTTGTCAAAATGAGGTGCTTGCCTGTTGACTGAATAAAAATCAAGAAAACCATCTTCCAAGTTCAGCTTCACATTTGCTTTTGCCTTTTTGAGCAATTTTTCTGCTAGCTTCTGAGCAACTCTAGTTTCTCTACAGCTAAATGTCTTTGAAGACACTTTCCCATGAACTACTGAAATATTAACAAACATAGCATCAGCGAAGTTCTCCCCATCAGTTGCCGTTATCTTAAGGCCAAAGTTGCTGTTCTTTATGCCAGAGTTAACAAGAGATTTTTTAAGCTGCAGGACACCAGAGTCTGGATTTAAATAAAAAAAGCCAAGCTCATTTCCAGAGATTATTTTGTACTTCACAAGCTCTAACTCATCTATGTCTATTGCAGAAACAGCAGTGATGTGACCACCAACAGGAAAATCAGATGAAATCACTCCCTGGCAGGCCACTTTTTCAAAGAGGGGCTTGTTATCGTTGACATTGCCTATGTATATGGTGACATTCACCTCACTTTCATGGCGGTAGGGAGAACCCCAGTCAGAAGCTCTCACAATGAACCTATAGCTTTCTGGTGAGGACTCAAAATCCAGTTCTTCAGACGTGCTGATGACACCTGTAAACTGGTTTATTGTAAAAGGCAGTGAGTTCAGACTGGCAATACTGTATGTGATGTATCCGTTTTCTCCCCTGTCTTCATCAACTGCTGACACTGCCAAAACGCTGGATCCCACTGGGACACTCTCATTGACGAATGAGCTGTAGGAGAGCTGCTGGAACTCTGGAGTGTGATCGTTGGCATCCTCTAACCTGACAGTAACCTGTGCTTTTAAATCACCACCTTTGTTTGCATAGACTTCTAATTCATAGAGGTCCTTCTCAATGATTTTCAAAGGACGAGCAGTAGTAATAAGGCCTGTGTTGGGATTAATTTTAAAATACTCAGCTTCCTCACTAGGAGATATTCTATATTCCACACCCTGAGGCTCAGGCATCAGCTTAACTACTGCAACCACCACACCAGGAGGTGAAAATTCACTGATCAAAACATCATACGCTTCCTTTTCAAACTTCAGGGGGATACTTTCTTTCTTGGGACTAGCAATGTGGACCAGTTTGACTGCAGAAAATTTCTGAGGAGATCCTTTGTCCTTAGCTTGGAGAGTGAGGTTGTAACCATAAGGGAAGCTGTCCCAATCAATAGGCTTTCTTTCTTTGATTTTGTACTCATTCATCCATTTCCCTTCTTTAGTCAGAAAGAATTGTTCTAGAGGATCTCCAGCCACAATAGAAACAGATTCTATTTCTCCATTGGCTCCTTCATCTAGGTCATCAACGTTCACAACTGCATAGGTAGGTTCCTTGTCTGATGGGAAGGGAATGTGGGTTACTACACTTATTGTTGGGGCATGTTCATTTATACGTTCAATGTGAACATAAAGCTTGGCAGTGCTGCTTACACCGTTGTTTCCATAAAGCTTCATCCCACGGTCCACTGCCAAAATCTCAAGGTCATATCTGTTTTTCTCATCATAATTTAACCGGCCACTTAAGGAGATAACACCACTCGTAGGATGAACTGAGAAGAGATCAACTTTATTTTTAAAGTAATAATAAAATTCACCATTGGACCCAATATCTGCATCTGTTGCAGTCACCTGTGCAATGCTAGTCCTTAAGGGAGTGCTTTCTGCTATCGTGACAGAGTACGTGGTTGGTGAAAACAAAGGTCTTAGGTCATTCATATCCAAAACCTGGATGTTCACTTTTGTCCATGCTTCCAAGTCCTCTCCTCTGACAGACCCTTTTACCATCAATAAATAGTTGTCCTGGATTTCTCTGTTCAATATAGCAGAATTTCCACCTTTAGTCCTTATTCTGAGGAAGCAGAAGTCAGCAATGATGACTTCCTCTGCTTTAAAAAAGCCCTCATCATCACCAGACACTATTTTGTACTTGATATCCCATGAAAGGTCAGCCATGGTAATGCCCATCCTCGTCTGACTGTTGACATAGGTCCTGGCTGCGGAATTCTCGTACACCGTGGCATTGTAAGTGGAATGTGTGAAGTGAAAGCCAAGCGGGACAGTCCCGTGAGCCACCTGGCAAATGCAGGCCAGGAACTTGACAATCAGAAGGGCAAGGCATGACGGAGGTAGCCGTGAGCCTGACCAGCGGCCCATATTCACATCCATCACATCATTCTTTCACCCTGTGACACAGAGAGAAAACGGGAAACAGTTGATCAAGAGATAAAAACTGTACTGTGAAGTGACATGTCCAAATTACTTACTAAATTTCTAATCAAAAGTAAAATCTATGTAATAACAATTCACCACATATTTAAAAAGGGAGGGACTGTAAACACACACATACAATCACACCAGCTCTGGGTATTTTAAACTGAGTAGTACATATGCATGTGCACATATATGCATATAACAAAATATATGTATGTATGCACACTTTTTTAATACAAAAGACCCTACCACATCCATGTACATAGGCACACAGAATAATAATCACAGTGAAAAAAAAATTAAAATCCACCACACATATTTGTAGAAATTTATGTAGAAGTATGAACCACATACAGAAATTGTTTTTTCTTATTTATCAGCAGCTCCAACTAAGCCTGAACTTCTTTGTTTTCAGAGTATATTGGAAAATTCATTCTCAGTCCCAGTGTTTGGAAGAGAGACAGGATTTTCATATGTATGTAGCACTGTGATAGTCAAATGTTACTATTTTTTTTTTTATGTTCAGTAAGGAATGATTAAATTTGAGCCACCAAGAACAAGCAGAGTAAGAAAGTCATTATGCAGTCATTACTTTAAATACAGATACCTTTAGAAAAGGCCCAGTGCCTCACTTCAAGAATCTAAATTGTGAGGTTAAGCAGAGACAGAGTAAGTGGAGGCACTGGCTGAAGACTGCTGGAGGGTACTGCAGAAGCTGGGAGCCAAGTCCTCCTTATCACTTCCTCCTTGAAAGCAGAGGAAAGGAGCCTCAGGAAACTAGGCAGGTGCTACCATAAAGCAGCGGGAATAAGTATCTTTGTTACAGAGTACATGCACTGCTATTTGTGAAAATCTTAAAAATCGATTTTAAAAGGCAATTATTGAAAGGCCCACTGCACAGACACGCTGTTCTCATTGTCATTTAAAAGCTACTTGAAGATGTAGTTATTTTCCAAGCTAGAATACCAGGAGGAAAAGGATAGGAAAAGTTATCACTGACACAGGTTAATTTGAACTTCCAACAAGATTTCAACTTTCTCAAAGAGATTTATAAATTGCATGCAGGTTTTGGAATATTAACTTGTATTACTTATCACCTTCAATGCAATGGAGCAACTACTGCAGTTTCAGTACTAAAAACAATCAATTTATCATACTGATGTTGCAATGTCCACACACAACACTTAACTTCCTGATCCTACAATCTCTATCCCATTGTTTAACAAACTGATCAATTTGGTAAATTCTCCCATGTGTTTGTCAAAGCCCTCATCTTTCAATACACTTATTTTCACATGCAGTTCTCTCCTTGTCTTTGTTTCCTTCTTATTTTCTTTTATATTTCATTAAGAAAAAAAAAAAAAAAAGAATAATAATAAGAAATAAACTCTTTAAAAAAGATAATAAAAATATAAGATTGTATCACCTTCTGCACCTGCATTCCCCAGAAGCCACCAAACTTCATTTATGGCAGTTCCTTTTCTGAATATGCTCACTCAATTATTGTGCACATAGCATGTGAATCCTATGATTAACATCTTGTTCCATACAATTCATACATCAAATAAGCACAATTCTCCAATATGCTTGGGGTACATGAGGGAACAGCTCTCCCCATGCTCAGGTTGACCTCCAGAAGCCCCAGGATGGAATTCTCCTACTTCATCTAGGAAATATTATTTTATTGTTGTTGCCATTTCATTCAGCTGAAAGATTAGCAGTGGCATCTTATTCTTCAGCACAACATTTGACAATTTAATCCTCCAGTATGAAAATATCGAAGTCCCTTATTTTTATGTGATCACTTTTGAGTACTGACACTAAAAGCTGTTGCTTCAGACTAGCGTGGGAGATGATGCTAGTTGTATTTATATATATATATATATATATGCACATATACATATATATATACACATATGTACACACAACATACAATAAACTGCTGAGGAAATTCAGCCAATGAAAATGAGAAATTCTAATGAGACAACTCATGGGAAAATAAAGGGCTGGACCTCTTCTGTGATGTGCATTATTGAAACAATCAACAATCACTGTATTGCTGTCTTCCATGAAGAGCACTTCAGCATCCTTTGTCTGTACCACAATACCTGCCTCTCTCCCCCTGCTAAGAGAGAGAGAATTTTTCCTGGCTTACAAAAGAGATTGGTGTAATATTCCATATAAGCACCTAGACTTCTTTCATCTAGGAAGTTCAACAACTTCCTAGAAGTTCATTTTCCTATTCTATGAAGTAAGGAAATGAATGGTCTTATCCTATTTATGTCTTATTTGGTGGTCTAGTTTCTTCTGACCATGCCATAGTTCAGCATGAGCTGGTTTCTCTCCACCTTTGAGGGTCATCAACATCAGATTTTCAACTCAAGCACAACTGGAAATCAGTTTTCTTGAGAATATCATTGCTACAAAAGGAAAAAAAAAAATATTTGAAACTTTACTTTAAGCCCTACCCAAGGTTACAGACTGCAGTGGCAGACAAGTATCAAAGTAGATATTTACAAAGCTTCACGATTAGGGGAACCTAATGAAAAAGTTGTGTAAATCCTAGGCAATATAACAGGACAACCTTATGCTCCTATTCCATTTATCTTATAATTTTTAAAGAAAACGGGCTAAGACCTAATCTCAAACACACTGCTGCAAACCCAGCCGTGTCAATAGCCCACAAAGTTTTAGATTTTCACTGCAATCAATATCAGTCCTGAAACACTAAATCCCACCTAGAAGCAGCATATGCATGTGTGTGTGTGTGTGTGCTGTTGAAAGCAGGTTTTAGCTATGTGTACATATGGAAACACAAAAACACAGATTGTGTACTTTTAGGTAGAATTTCATGGTTGGCACTAGAAAAATTGGACCTTCACATCAGGCAGCACTTTCAGAGTTTGATATCATCTCAAATGTGGTATGCAGAGTTGTAACAAGCTCCCCATTGAAGTTATCCATCTATCCATATATTTATATGGCCATCATCATTACATTATATGAAAGTCCCAATGGATGAGCTATTAAGCTGCCACTTGGGCAACCTAAGAAATGTTTTATTCATTTACTGAATTCCTTTCTTCTGGGATATTTGTTTTTAAGAGCTCATAACACATACATACTTAACACACAGGAAATGTAACGAGATAGGTTTCAGAAACAAAGTACAAAGCAACCCGCCATAAATTAGGAGACATTTCTTTAAAGGCACTTCTTGTCAAAAAATGCTATGTTTGAAGTGAAGAGAAAGGTTGTGATTACTTTTCCTTGATTTTAAAACGTTTGGGCAGGAGCTACTAAAAAAAAATTCCCTAATACTGTTCAACATGGTTAGTATGAAGGAAAAAAAAGGGAAAAAAAGAAAGGAAATAAAGGGAAATGGGAACAGGGAAAAAGGAAAAGGAAAAAGCTTTCTGAGAGAGGAGAACTGCTCTACAACAGCAGCAGAGACTAAAAGGAAACAACGTCCTTCCAACTACCCAAGGAGGTGAAAAAAATAACACAATATAGGCGTCCAGAATCTTTCCACTTTAGCTCTCATTAAATACTCTGGCCTTGAAGTGGGAAGGAAAAAAATGGAGAAATAGAACACTGTAATACTCTGAAATAAATGTGAACATCATGGAGAATTCTATGATTTTAAATTCAGTTCATCATTTGAGTTATTTTCCTTTGCTCCTTGAAGAGAGACTAACTATGTGACCCAAACCTTGCAGAATAGCTGTAAGGACCTGCAGGTGGCTGGTGCTCCTTAGAGGAGCTGAGAGAGGTATGACCATCATCCCTTTATCTCATCTCGGCTCTGGCAACCTCCAGTCTGGGTTGCATCCAAACATAACACCCCATCAGACAGAAGAGGAAGACTGAAGTCCCAGGAACTTCCAGGATTCCTGCACACCAAAAATGTGGCTCTAACTCAACATGCAGATACGAAACAACTGCTATCTGTTCCTTGGTTTGACTCCTTCTCCCTAGGCTCATTTTTCTAGCTCCAAAAACCTCCACACCATAAAATACTTGAAAAAGAAAACAGTGCATATGTCTCTTGGGTCAACAAGAGCTAAAAGGTCTTTTACAGAATATAAGGAATACAGCAGGCAAATTTCTTAAGCAAACAGGAGGAATAAGCTTTTAGCAGGCCGCAGAAGGGATAACAAAAGAGCCTTCTCCTCTCTCCCTACTTTGCCTCCAAGCACAGTTATACTTTGAGAGCATGTTTCCAGTTGGCCATTAGGCAAATTAATTCAGGCAATGTGACTAGCTAATACAAAACAACCATTAAGGACTTTTTTACATGTCCTTTGAAGACAAAAGAAACCCATCTGTGCTGCAACTTCCAGCTTCACTCAATCAAGGGTGAACAACCCAATGGAGCTCATATACAGGTCCTCTGGGTTATGAGGAAGAAAAAACAGTTTCTTGACTTCAGGTAAATTTCTGAGAGTTGAGGTTTTTATGCACCCACACATATGAGAAAAAAAGGGGTCAAGAAACCTTGACTGAAAGGTTTTCATCTTAATTTGCATTTCTCTTGGTGAAGCTGGGTAAAGAAGCATGTCTCCTCACACAGGACAGAACTGAGGACCTCAAGGTATGGACAAATACTGCAATTTGAAATTACTATTGCTTCCTTGAGAGAGATGTCACAATTCTCTTTCAAACCGTAGCTATTTAAATTTTACTAAATATACAGCTTTTCAGCAAAAAAAGTATGTTTAAAAATGCACAGGTATTTTTAGGAAGCAGAGCAGTAACATCACATGCACATGAAGTCTAAATAGTAGGTAGAGAAGTCATGCATCTGCTGCAGGAACAGAAGCTCTTGATTTGTTTGGAAGTGGTCTTAATCTTTCTAGCTACCTTCTGTCACTCAAACGTCAACACCAGCAACAGCTAATCTATGCTCATGGTCTAAGCATCAACACACAAGGCATGAAACATCTCCTTCTCAGTGTTATTTTCTACCAAC